CTATTATGAAGATTGAGAGGTTCTAAAGGTCAGTTAGAGTTCATTCCGTTCTCTCTGGCCCTCACTGTATTTGTGAACCTAGACAATTGGTTGTGTATACTAAAAATACTCTTGAGAAATCCTTTGTCCTCCTGTTGTGGATCTGATCATCTCACATTTATTTCTCTTGGATGTTGGTCTTTTAGCAAAACTATTGTTGTTGTAATTTTTACATACTTAATTTGTGATTAGAATGAAAAACAGTGAATTACTCATACAGTGATTATTAGTTAACCTTTTTGAAACAAATTAGGACATACCTTTTCAGAGTTGGTTATTTATTTTAAATCATCCAGCCTCTTTCTTTACATGGTATCCAATGTTCATTTAAAGTCATTTTCTCATGCTTATTTGTTTCGTATTCACTCGTATCAATTTATTATTTTTTCTGTATATATTATTTTTTCTGTATATATTGATTAATTTGCAAATAGCTGTTGTATTTTAGTATTGACATGTAAATTAAAATTAAACTGTTTTATGTAGAGTGCCCTTATCAAGTACTTTATCTTCTTCCCAGGAGGATAGCAAACAAGCTCAATTCTTGGCATTGGCAGTTGTGTACTTTATCTCTGTTCTTATGGTTTCGAAGTATAGAGACATCCTTGAACCCCAGAATGAAAGGCGTAGCCAGTCACTGAAGGAAACTGGCAGTGAAAATGGGAGTGTATCAATCCCTGGTAAGTTTCTGTATTTTATTCACTAGCATTGAAATTTGAGGTAAAACATTAGCTACACATGATGTTAAGAATAATGATCTGGAATTTAGATCTATGTAGGTATGAAATACGAATATACATTTTTTTAAAAAATTAATGACTGAGCATTTACATTTTTTTGAAGTCTCGTACTTAATTTGAAGTGAGAAGTAATTTCTTTTCTGTAAATTTTGTTAAAATTTCTTTTATTTTCTTAAAATTGAGCCATCTACTGAAAATATATAAAAATGCTTTACTTTTATTTAAAAAAAGCCTTAACATATTTTGTTTACCGAAGCATTTGCTATGACGAATAAGTAACTCAAGTTGTTAAGAGAGACGTGACAGCAGAGAACTGAAATTATTTGAGTTTTATAAGTAGCTGCCAGCTATAGAAGTATAGTTTAAAAAGCAGCTATTTTGATTATTGATGTAGTTAGTTACAGAAATAAATGTCACTCAGTTGAGGGGATTCTTTTATTCAATAACTATTCAGTACCACTAGGTAATTTGGTATCTTTATCAATAAAAACAGAATATATATCTGCCCTCATAGAGTTTACATTCTAATAAGAGATTATAGACAATAGCAATTAATACATTAAATAACTTTTATAGTATTTTGGAAATTGATTGCTTAGAAAAGAAAACCCAAACATATAGAAGAGGATAAAATTATGTAGAATGACTAGGAGAAGTGGGGTGTGTTTACTCTAAGGGAATTGAGGATCCATTATGGTGTCTTGTGTACGGACATGTCATCTAACTTATTTTTTAAAAATAGCACTCTGGGTTGTGTGCTGATGATAGATGTGAGTATAAGGAAATTTAGTGTTTGGTTTATTTGTTGCTGCGTAACAAACTACCTGCAAACTTAATGGCTAAACAACCATAAGCATAATTCTGTTAGTTATATATGGACAGGGCACAGTGGGGATGATTCACCTGTGTTTCAGATGTTTGTTGATGTTAAACATTTAAGGTGGCTCCTTAACTCATATGTCTTATTATCTCTGCTAGGATGGCTTCAGTAGCTGGGGCTGAATTACTGAAGTGGTTTATTTGAAGTATGTCTGAGACTATGACTCTTGTTATTATCTGGATTTCTAGGCTTTGCTTCACCAATTCTGGGAATTTCTTTCTCTCTACGTAGCTCTATCTGCATATTATATTTTCGTGTTCTGTCCAGAAATGTAGCAAGAATTTTTTTAAAGAGCAGCTCTGAAATTCCAAGGTCAAAAAGATGCTAGACCTTCTTAAAACTTGGGCCCAGAATTGGCACTGTGCTACTTATTAATAAACATTCTTTTGGTTCAAGTATGCCAGTCCCAGATTTGATTGGAGGATTTTGCAAGGGGGTAAATACTAGGAAGCATGGTTCAATAGATTCTTTAAAGTAACTGTTCATAACTACTAGTTTGGAGAAACCTGTAGTAATGTAGGCAAGAATCCTGGTGTGGCACTGTGTAAGATAGCACTGGACTGCTAAACGCAAATTTGGCATTTCAGTCTTACCTCCCATTCCTTGGGAACCCATACAGGGTCTCTATGAGTCAGACTTGACTTTGATGGCACTTGACAACAACAACAACAACAAACGAGGTTGTGAAATGGAGTAGTGTTGTCACCTTTGAGATGGTGAGAAGCAGTCAGATTCTGGAATATTTTGAAAGTGGAGATGATAGAATTTTTGAACATTATTTGTAGGTTATGTATAAGAGAGAAGGAAGTAAAGAATAATTACAAGGTTTTTTATCTTTAGCAATGCAGAAGATTGAAAGGAAACAAGTTTTTGGGAAAAATAAATTAAGTTTTATATATGTTGCATTTGTGATGTCTTGCAGACATATAAAAAAAGATGTCAAGTAGGTAGTTGTGTATAAAAGTTATATACAACTTTTAGGTTTTAGGGTTTTTTTCTGCATAGTGGTTTTAAAACTTTGAGTGAGTGATATCATGAAGAGAGTAAATTATCACTTCAGAAAAGATAAAAGGACCAAAGTCTGAGGAGCCCTAAATTACTCTAATTCAAGAAATCAAGGGTATTAAGAAGCAACAACTAGTGTGATATTAAGAGAAATCCAAGAGTATGGGTCCTAGAAGCTAAGTGAAGAAAACATTATCAAGTTGGAGGTAATAATCAAATGTTGGTGTTTTGTCAAATGCTATAATGACTGAGACTTGACCACAGGACTTTACAAATTGGAAATTTGATCTTTATGAGAGCATTTTCATTGGAACTACGGGTTGTAAACCTAACAGGAGGAAATGAAGCAGAACAGAGAAAAGAGGATGTGACGTGGATTTGAGAAAGGCATATTTGAAGTAAAGGGTTTGGGATTATTATCCAGAGAAATGGAAGTGTGTAAAGAATCATTGTATTGTGTTTAGCAAATTGCAAGTAATTTGGTGTTGCTGGTTCATAATGTGTGATGTCTTGATTAACAGAGATAAAGTTTGAGAATAATCACATGTTAAATATTTTATTGGTGACTACAGGTTGCCAGGGAGTGTGGTAGCTTTTTATTAAATAAGCATTGGACTGCGACCATCAAGGTTGGCAGTTCAAGCCTACCAACTGCTCCACGGGAGAATTGTGATGCTTTCCGCTCCCACAAAGGTTTACCACCTCAGAAACCCTATGGAACCTACTCCACTGCACTTAACAACAACATCAACAGCTTGTCAGGCATTTTGTACATGCTGGAGATGCATTGGTAAATGACAAACTCCCTGCCTTGATTAAGTTTATATACTAGTGTTTTTAAGAGCTTTCAAGTTGGTTCAAACTCACAGAAACCTTGTATAGTTTTTCTAAGCAGCGACTGATGGGTTTGAATCGTGGGCCATGTGGTTAGCAGTCCAGTGCATATCTTACATCTTCACACAAGTAACCCTGTATTTTCGTTGGCACATGTTACTTAAGAGCCTTGTACTTTATCCTAGAGATTTTGAACTTTATTTGTAGGTTATGAATTTTAACCTTTTTATTCCTACCTATTCATATGACTAATTTGGAAGGTTTTCTATGATGTTTTAATATCAGTAATAATGATAAAATCAGTGTTTTTCTGATGTATGATGTGTTCTGTTGTTGTTAGCAACAATGCTATGAGAAGTTCCAACTCATAGCAACCCTGTATAGAGTTTCCAAGGAACATCTGGTGGGTTTGAACCTAAATTATACACAAATTTATCCTTATCATGGATTCTTCTTGAAATATCTCAGATGGGAAAAGTTGTAAATTTTCTTAAAATATATGTTTTAAATGATTCTGATTGGTATAGCAGAGAAGTTGTTGATTGTGTTTATAGAGTATGGTAGTGGTGGTGATGATGTGCCGTGGAGTCAGTTCCAATTCATAGAACCCTGTACAGGGCTTCTGAGGCTGTAAATCTTTATGGGAGCAGAAAACCTCATATATTCCGTAATTTGAAATAATTGATGGAATAAGGAAACAACTAAAACTGAATGCATCTTTTAAAATTGATTCTAAGTATTTTAATTCTTTCTTTTCTTTTGTTTCTGGGTAAGATGTACAAAATACGCCAGCAACATTCAGCCCTGTAACTCTGACATCAGTGGAAGACTCAGAAAATATAACATCTGCACGCAGGAGAGACTCAGGCATTGGGGAAGAAACAACTACTGGAGTAGGAAGCAATGTGGATGTAGCTCCTCATGTAGCACTTCCAACTGTCAGTGCAGGTCCTGATGCAGTTAGTGAGGTGCTATCCACACTTTCTTTAGAAGTCAATAAATCTCAGGAAACCAAAAATGATGGAACAAATGAGTTGGATAACAAGATTGTACCTTCAGTTCCAGTTTCAAAAAATGTCAACGTGAAGGACATTCTCCGAAGCTTGGTCAACATCCCAGCAGATGGAGTAACAGTAGATGCTGCACTTCTGCCACCAGCCTGTCTTGGAGCTCTTGGTGATCTGACTGTTGAACAACCTGTGCAGTTCAGATCTTTTGACAGGTACTACAAATAGTTTTTTAGTTTTAATTTATTTATATTACTTGTTTGTTTTTTGTTGTTGTGAAGTGTTTTGTGTCGGTTACAACTTACAGCAACCTAGCATAAGGTTTTTGAGGAGCAACCGGTAAGTTCAAACTGCACCTTGCAGTTCAAACTGACCATGTGGTCCAGCACATTAACCAAAAGCACCACACCAGGACTGCATTTCTGAATGATAAAAATTAAATTTAAACAGAAATTCAATATAGCATCTGCAAGCAATGTTTAGATCTAGTTTATAAAAGTTAAAAGCATATTTTTATATGCTTTGTATATCATTCAAAATTTTATTTATTGAATATCAGTAGGATATGTATTAAAAATATTTTTTTGTATCAAGTTTATCAGTTGTATGTTAAATATTATGCTCTCTTTGATTATAACTTGGAAATATTCTGCAGTTACAAAATGGTTGTTATCTTTGACTCCCTTGCTGCCAATACTATGCTAGTCTTTTTGAATAAACTGGGGAACTATGGGTTTCAATAGATTCAGAAATTAAAGATGGTGTTCAGATCCCTGAATGCTTGAGAAAGCTGACTACAGATTCCTTACTTGGTCCATTCGGCTGTCCTAAAAAGTGTTGTTACCTTAGCTGAAAAATTTCATTATGTATGCTTAAGCTTTCTGAAATGCATAAGATTTTTATTAAAATTGATTGTATATATCTTTTTGACAAATAATTTTTTTGACTAATCTTGTCCGTTTCTTGTATTATGGTAGCTTGCCCATTGCTTTGATGCTGGATGATATGCCTCTGGTATTTCAAATTCTAGCAGACTTCCTGGCATGGATTGAATTGTGTCCTTCCCCAAAACTATGTGTCAGCTTGGCTAGGCCATGGTAGTAATGTCATGATATAATGTGGCAGTTCTGTGATGTTCCCCCAGATTTCTTATAATGTGATAAGCCAATGAGACGATTACAGATGGTTTGCAATACCCTTAATCTAGCCACAGCTCTCATCTCATGTAAGGGGAGTTTCCTTGGAGTCTGGACTGCAATATCCTTTACAGAGATAAAAGAAGAGAGAAGTGAGTAAATATCAGAGGGACCTAATACCACCATAAAAGAAGAGACAGGAGTGGAGTGTGTCCTTTGGACCTGTTATCCCTAAACTGCGAAGCTCCTAGATCCAGTGAAAGACAGATTGATGCCAAGACACGTGGGTTCTCTAAGGAATGTTGTATCTATAGATGCTTAAAGATCTTTCTCCAGAGCCAGTGTTCTGAATTTGGACTTTAGTCTCTTAAACTGTGAGAGAATAGATTTCTGTTTGTTAAAGCCATCTTCTTGTAGTATTTTTGTTACTACAGCACTAGATGACTAAGAAAGTCATTCGGGCTAGACAGGTTTTAACGGCACTTCGGGACTAAGACAGATTAGCAAATTAGACCTGGTGATCTACTAAAAAAATTGACCAAAGAAAACAATATGAATAACAGCAGAACACTGACTGATCTAGCGCCAGAAGATGAGCCCCCAAGTTAGAAGACAAAATTGCCTCTTCAAATTAGAGTTGACCTTAATGGTGTGTAAGAAGTAAAGATTCTGGGTTCTTCATTTGCTCATGTGGCATGACTGAAATTGATTTAAAAAAAAATAGCTGAAACATCCATTAAGAATCCTAGCATTCAATGTACAAAGTATTATCTACGAAAATAGTAAGTACTTAGGCATTAGTGAGCTGAGATGATGTTGCCCAGTTTGAATCAGATGATCATGTTGTCTACTATGACCAGAAATAAAGATTTAATCTAACACTCATTTGGTTTATTATGCCAGGATGTCAAATTGAAGAGGAATGACTTTGCATTCGTAGTCAAAAGAACATTGCAAACCAAGGTCTGTCTTGAATTACATTGCTGTTTGTGATAGGATAATATCCATAAACTTACAAGGAAGTCAACTAGTCAAATTAACCACCAACCACTTACGCCCATAATGATGAAATTAAAGAACTGTACCAAATTCTTCCTTCTGAAATTGATCAGACAAGTAGCCAAGATGCACTGATTACTAGTGATTGAATGCAAAAATTAGAAACAAAGAGGAAGGATCAGTAGTTGGGAATTATAGTCTTGGTGATAGAAATAACACCAGCAATCACATGATAGACTTTTTTCAAGACCAGCAAACACTTTTGCAAATGCCATTTTAAAAACAACATAAACAGTGACTATACATGTGTGCCTTGGATGTAGTATAGAGGCATCAAATCGGCTGCATCTGTGCTGAGAGATAATGGAGAACCTCACTGTCATCTTTCAGAACATGACCATTAGCTGACTGCAGAACACACCAGCATATGCAAGTTCAGCAGGAAGCTGAAGAAAATTAAAATAAGTACACAAGGACAGAAGTACGACCTTGAGTATTTCCCTCCATAATCTAGAGCCCATATCAAGAATAGATTTAACAATTTGAACATTAATGACTAAGATAATATGAGTTGTGGAATGTTATCAAGGACATCATGCACGAAGAAATTACAAGGTCATTAAAAAGATCAAAAAGAGAAAAAAGACCACAATGAATGTCAAAAACTTGCTCTTGAATGTATGATAGTTAAAGCAAAAGGAAGAAATGCTGAAGTAAAAGAACTGAAATGAAGATTTCAAAGGGCAGGCTCAAGAAGACAAAGTAAATGTTGTAATTAAATGTGCAAAGGCTTAGCATTAGAAAACCAAAAAGGAAGAACACACTTAATATTCTCAAGCTGCGAGAGCTGGAGAAAAAATTCAAGCCTTGAATTTCACTATTGAAGGATTCTGTGGGCAAAATATTAGATGACACAGGACGTATCAAAAGAAGATGGATGTCATACAAAGAGTCACTGTACCAAAAAGAATTGGTCAGTGTTCAACCATTTAGGTAATAGTACCTGATTAAGAAACTATGTTGTTGTTGTTTTTTTAATGTTTTATTGTGAATTATATGATAGTTTACATGGGGGAACTTCAGTTTTACATTCATTCCATCATATATCATTTCACTGCCATGGTTCCAATTCCCTCCATGCATCATCTACCACCCAAAGGGTATATCCCAGAAACCCGCCCCCTACACTTCCTCCTTCTCCCCCCAGTTTTCGGGCCACAGTCCCTTTCCCTCTCTGGGTCCAAAGTCCCCAGTCGCTTCATCACTCCACGTCATTATCACTGTCTCCATCTCAGGCATCTCTGAAGAAACTATGGTTTTGAAGGAAGAAGTCCAGGCTACACTGAAGGTGAAAACAAAGTTCTAGGCATTAGCAGGATACCAATTCAAATATTTCAGCAAACTGATGCACTCACTAGTCTATGCTAAGAAATTTGGAAGACTTCTCTTTAGCCAATTTACTGGAAAAGATCCTTATTTGTGCCTATTTCAAAGAAAGATAATCCAATAGAATATAGAAATTATTGAGCAATATCATGAGTATTAGTATTACATTCAAGTAAAGTTTTGCTGAAGATAATGCAAAAAAAACATTGTACCAGTATATTGATAGGGAACTTACTATAATTCCAGCTTGATTCAGCAGATGTGGAACAAGTGATATTGTTTATATCAGATGAATCTTGGTTAAAAGCAGAGGATATCATAAAGATGCTTACCTATGTTTTATTGATTGTTAAAAGATATTTTACTGAATGGTTCATAATAAATTATGAATTGTTGTTGTTAAGTGCCATCGAGTCAGTTCTGACCCATAGCAACCCAGTATAGGGTTTACTTTGAGCAGCTGGTGAGCTTGAACTGCCGACCTTGCAGTTCAAGCCGACTTTACAGTTCATCGCATTAATCCACAGCACATAATAAATTGTGAAGACTGTAAATTCCAGATAACTTAGTTGTCATCATACATAAACCTGTATATGAACCAACAGTCAGTTCTTTAAACAGAACCAAGAGATACTTTGTGGCTTAAAATCAGGAAAAGTGTTTGTTAGTGTTGTTTCCTTTTACCATAAAATCAGCTTTTCCAGACTCAGCAGCTCTTCAGAAACCCTATACAGGGTCTCTATGTGTCGGAACTGACTCGACAGTACTTAACAACAGCAACCTAATTATTATCCTATGAAAGTAAAATTTTGCTGAAGATGATTTCAAATACAGATTCAAGAACCTAACAACATAGCATCTGAATTAAAATGCTGGCTCTGGAAATTAGTCAAAATTGCTATTTAGTCCTCGTTCTGTCAGTTTTTAGTGAATATGAACAAATGACCTGTCACTTTAGTGTAAATTTCCCTATTGTTGTTATTGTTGTTAAGTGCTGTCCAGTTGGTTCCAATGCATGTTGTTAATGTTAGGTGCCATCGAGTCAGTACCGACTCATAGCGACCCTATGCACAGCAGAATGAAACACTGCCCAATCCTGGGCCAATCTCACTATTGTTGTTCCCAACCTTTGTATTCCAATCACCAGTAATGATCAATACATCTCGATTGCATGTTTGATCAATTTCAGATTGAAGAAGTTGGCAGAATTCTTCTATTTCATCCTCACTGGCTTTAGTGGTTGGTGTGTACATTTGAATAATAGTGGTATTAACTGGGCTTCACTGTTGTTGTTGTTGTTAAGTGCCATCGAGTAGATTCC